TTTGTACAGTGTCCCAACTTTTTTGGAATCGGGTTTGTACATTGGTCCATACATGAGTAGCACCAGCATGCAGTTTATACAGTAGATTTTGTAAGTGCAGGAGCAGGACACTCACAAACAGAAAAAGAGCACCACAGATGAACTGCACTTCATCTGTGAAGCTCAGTTGTGTTGGTGTCCTACGCAGCACTCCTCTCAGATAGGCAAACAGGACAGTTGTTCCTCACTGTTGAGGTAGACAGGCACTCAGGAAGAGGTTAGCTTATGAGACTACTTAGAGGGCTTCTGGTTGAGTACACCCTATGGGCAAACCATGGTGCAAAAACAGTTATTTTGAGGAAATTGATACATTTAAGATAAAGATACAATAATTTGCAGCATAGTTAAAAGATATTGTTAATGTAATAACTAATTAAGGCCCTTGGTGAACCTTTACTATGAGTTTGTTTGTAATCATGATTAAATGTGAACATTGTTTAAGTACCACTAAATTCTCCTCAGATCCCTGTAACTTTACAATGCAGTCCAGCAGTGTCTTTACCTCTGCAGTGTGGTCATCGACAGCCTGAATGTGGATTTCCTCTGAGATAGCACTCTGTACACTGGCTGAAGAGTTCCTTGGAGCAAGATTCTAGCCTCATCAGTCCAGAAGGCAAACCGCTGACCATGCCTTTCAAACATCAACAAGATTAATCTAAAGTACTGCCAAAACGACAGGCTAATCACACATATTGTGGTGCAACCAAACAGTGAGCCTAGTTTAATTTTGAAAGATGATTTATACTTAACTAATATGCTAAAACAAATGAAGTATCAAACAAGTTTTCACACTAATAAATGTGACACATCTCACATCAACATGCTTTTATCATATTTTTAAGTTTAATTAATGTGCTGGCTAGATTTACTTATTATAGTCATTATGTCAACAAGGTTTAGCTTAATTAAATCATGGCCACGAATTAAGAACATCGTAATAATCAATAAAACTAACAATAGGGAATTAATTATTATTTCTTAGCAGTTCTCACGTTGGCTACGTAAACTTTGAATCGTTTTAACCAATCGTTATAACCAATTTTGCTTTCTGTAGCTGTGTGTGAGAGCGGATGTCAAAATGGCGGGCGTTGTATTATGGACCCAACAGATGTGCTTGTGTCTACGGTTTTACTGGGCCGCTGTGGAAGAGAGGTAAGCCATTGCTATGAAGGTTATAAAATAAAACTTTGCTGTCCATGTCGTCCATCTTTAGTGATCCAATTCAGATGGCGCTGTTACAAAAGAATAGGGTCCTAGAACTGCGGTCCTGAAACTGCAGCCTCCGTTTGTGCAGGAACATACTATTGATTTTACTACACAATTGAAAAACTATCAAAATGTTTAGAGTGGTTATGATGCCTCCTGCTGGTGAGCGGTGGTATGAAAGAAAAGCAGTCAAATCTAAGAGCAAATAATTGATAGCCAAAATGTGCATCTTTAACTCAACTGGAAAACGATTGTTTTTGTTTAAGCATGGATATTGAAATTTATTATCATGTCATGATACATTATCATTTACAGATATGGCACTGATTTATCTTGTGTCTTTGTCTCTCTGTACATGTTGTCACTTACCAAATATATTTATTTATTTACTTTATTATTCCGTGTTGTTGTGTCTCCCATTACTGGTCAAACTCCTTTAGTGTGTTTTGTGGTTTATGTTGTGCGCTAGCATAGTTGGTGAATAAAGGTCACACGTTCTGATTCATTTGTTTTTCATTTATTTCTGCAAAACACCTCTGCACCACTCATCTTTCTCAGGACCTGTTTTTCCACTTTACCAGCTGTGTTACACTGTCAAAATTCAAAAACAAAAATCACTTAATGTGTTGCACAGACTATGGAAGTAGGTTTAACTTCTCTTGACATCTGTGCACTGATCCCAGACAAGCAAGCAGTGATGACTAGACATTTTAGGCCTGTAAAAACACACAAATATACTTTTGAAATTCATTATGTGCTATACTGCTTTGGTTAGTAAGATTCTACTAAACAAATGAACATCCATTTAAACCACAGCACCTGGGCAGGAGTATTTTCTTCTTTAACATTGCAAGCACTTTTGCTAAGGCAGACTGATTCCTTTCTCACCTTATAGGTCTTAGTCAGGGTTGATCATGCCATATACTGAATTTTACAAGGATGAAACCAAGGCTGCGTGGGATATATTTACAGTCTTTACAATGACATGCACTGTATAAAGGTCCTAGTTCACTTAATTTTCACAACTTTCAAATGAAGTTTTAGTCTACTGAAGGTTTTTTTTTCCTGAAAGATGTTTCGTCAGCTAAACAACCTAAACAACCTAGTTCACTTAATTTTCACAACTTTCAAATGAAGTTTTAGTCTACTGAAGGTTTTTTTTTCCTGAAAGATGTTTCGTCAGCTAAACAACTGGCAAGTTAAACAACAGTGCAATCCATTGAATCCACCGTACTTCTATAGCCTCTTTTTTATTTCAGTCAAAAATGAATAGGACATGCTTACAGCAAATCATAAAGTAACAGCAATAGCATCTTTAACCTTTAAGTAAAGACAAATCCAAGCAGGAGTTGGATCTATACAGTTTTATTACCTGTGGTAAGCAAGTTATGTACACGTTCCATAAGGCCTACCTAATACCCTTGAGAGAAACACACAACATAAACCCAACAGCCGAGAACCAGACGGTAATTACAACCTCAGAGAAACCATAAAACACTGCGCACATATGCCTGTGGGACAGAAACACCACATCAGTTGATGAACTTTAAATCTGGCAACAGCACTGTATTTATATCAGTAAATGTGACAAATGCACCCATGGAGATCTGTGGAAAGCTAAAATTAAACCTTTGAGGGGCTGTTTGATGAAAAATAGTAGATGACTCTTCACTTATACAGCACCTTGGTACAGTTTTAGTAACAGGAAATTCTAAAATAAAGACAGTAAAATCACAACAGAACATGAGGGTTAAATCAGTAAAATTGTAAATATGCACAGATTAAATGCTTAGATCAAAAACGACGCATACACCTGAACGCAATGGTTTGACCAATCACAGCGAACTCATTTACATATCCCCACAGTTTCCATTAGTGTTTTAAACGGAATAATGCCATTAAATTGAAAAACATATAAACAACATAGAAAAATAGGTCTAAAGGTATGCATTCTTAAAGGGTGGTTCATTGCGATTTCACTTTTTTAACGTTAGTTAGTGTGTAATGTTGCTGTTTGAACAAACAATATCTGCAAAGTTAGGAAGCTGAAAGTTCAATGCAAAGGGAGATAGCGTCTTTTAAAATTTTGGCAGTTTAATGCCTACAAAAACGGCTGGTAGGGACTACAACGAGTTACTTCCCGGGTTCGTGTTATGTCTTCTAAGGACTCTAATGGATTCACAAGTTTCAAAATCAATGTTCTAAAGCAGCGGTGCTTAATACTGTTCCTGCGTCCCCTGCTCTGCACACGCCTCTGCATCTCTCTCTCTCTCTCTCTCTCTCTCTCTCTCATTACACTCGGCTCCAACAATGAACTGTTCCAATTATACACTTATTTTCACATAGCTATGAGAAGCGTTAAACATGGACGCGCGTGCAGTTGCCGTACTGTATTAAA